AATGCAGCTAAGGCACTCTGCTGAGACAGAGGAGGAGGGGCTGGCTTCTACAGAGAGAATTCCCACCTATGGTTCCTGATTGGTCCATTTTTTGAGCAAATGAAGAATCCAAATTCTCACAGTTTGATTGGTCCAAAGAGCACTGATTGGTCGGTTTCACAGGTTCTGATTGATCAGCAAAGATGCAAATGGAGATATAGTTCCACAGCTCTGATTCAATGGGGCAGATCTTCAGCCCATTTGTCGAATTTTGACCCTAAGAACTCTCTTACAAAGGATCAACTCAGACCACAGGGATAGGATGCAGTAGGCTGGCAGCTCAGTCTGTGGCTCTTTCCTGATAAGTAGTGTGTGTGAGGGACCTCTGTAAACAATGCCTGCTAAACTCTTGTTATGAATTTGAGCCCAATTAACCACAAGGAGTCCTTCTTTTATTATTATTGAATATTTAAGATGTTTATTACCAGGTACTCGTAGTTTGTTGACTTTTTAAAAAAATCAAGTTGTAAATTTTTATTACAAATTAAAAATGAAGTTCTCAAAAATCTCAACTTCACCAGATATGAAACAGTTTAAAAACTTTTAAAGATGTATTGAGAAAAAACAGACTTTTTAAAAAAACAAACAAACATGTTTGTCATTACCAAAAAGAGACATCGTTAGGTATAAGGTTGGTACAAAAGAAATTGCGGTTTCAGACTGTGAATTTTAAATAATTGTAAGTAGGCTCAAACACATCTTTATTAATCAAAGTAGGAGCCATTACAACCAACACATTTTTGCCAACGAGAAATAAGTTTGTTTATTCCTGTAGCCTAAAAATCCATGCTTCAGCATTCAATGAACTTTTGGAAAGCATTTTCTGCAGCCTGCTGGTTTGGAAGCATTTTCCCTGCAAAACGTTGTCGAGATGCTTGAAGAAGTGGTAGTCGGTTGGCGAGAAGTCAGGTGAATATGGCAGATGAGGCAAAACTTCGTAACTCAATTTGTTTAATTTTTGAAGCGTTGGTTGTGCTACAGGCAGTCGGGCATTGTTGAGAAGAATTGGGCCCTTTCTGTTGACCAATGCCGGCTGCAGGTGTTGGCAGTTTTTGGTGCATCTCATCAATTTGCTGAGCATATTTCTTGGATGTAATGGTTTTGCCGGGATTCAGAAAGCTATAGTGGATCAGACTGGCAGCAGACCACCAAACAGTGATCACGACCTTTTTTTGGCGCAAGTTTGGCTTTGGGAAGTGCTTTGAAGCTTCTTCTTGGTCCAACCACTGAGCTGGTCATCACTGGTTGTTGTATAAAATCCACTTTTCGTCACACATCACAATCCGACCAAGAAGTGGTTCGTTGTTGTTACGTAGAATAAGAGAAAACAACACTTCAAAATGATGATTTTTTTGATTTGCGGTCAGCTCATGAAGCACTAACTTATCGAGCTTTTTCACTTTTCCAATTTGCTTCAAATGCCAACCATAGAATGGTGGACGTTGATTTCTTCGGCAACTTCTCGTGTAGTTGTAAGAGGATCAGCTTCGATTATTGCTCTCAATTGGTCGTTGTCAACTTCCGATGGTCGGCTACTACACTCCTCATCTTCAAGGCTCTCAGCTCCTTTGCAAAACTTCTTGAACCACCACTGCACTGTACATTCGTTAGCAGTTCCTGGGCCAAATGCATTGTTGATGTTGCGAGTGGTTTCTGCTGCTTTACGACCCATTTTGAACTCGAAAAAGAAAACCGCTCAAATTTGCTTTTTGTCTAACATCATTTCCATAGTCTAAAATACATATAAAATAGACAGCAAATGATAAGTCATTAGCAAAAAAACATAAAGCGAGAAATGCACATTAAAATGATGTACAACATAACCCCATTTATTTAAGAATGTATTCCAATATCAAACGGCAAATCTCAAAAACCCCATACTGCATAAATAATGCAGATAGTTCTAGTTATCAGGTCAAAAGGCAAAAAACAAGCATTTAAGTCTTTAGCTCCAATCTTGTGTTGATTTCTTATTGCTGGAATTCTGTATTCATTTCTTGTTGGATGACTAAACCAGATGATGGTAGAGATGGTAAGCAGCGGGCATTTACTCAGCCCCGCCCTGCTCAGGAACAGATGAATTCTTGGTTGGTGGATCGGCTGCTTTTGTCTCTGCCACCTTGTGGTTTAGGGTTTTCTGGGCATCTGCGTTGGTAATTGAAGTTACGGTGGTACCGACATTGAGGTGGCTGCTGACCTTGGCTCTCATCTCCTTGATTTTCCTTCTCTTCTTCATTGCCGTCCTCTCTAGGCTGTCTTTGCTGAGGAAGGCCCCTGCAGAATCGTGGTCTATAGCCCGATGCATATTCTATCTCACTGGTCTAACTTGTTCTCAGTCACTCTAGTTGTCAGCACCCTTCATCGCTTCTTCCTGCACAAGAAGGCTGGAATACTGTGGTCAACCCCCATAGGGTTTCTGCATGTAGTGAGGTGGGAACCATGGTAGGGCCTGCAGGGTTGGGCCTGGCCTTCGGGAGCACTCTCCAATCCCTCGTTCTTTTCCCCACTCTCACTATTCTAGTAATTCTGCTGGTAATTGCGTGGAGGAACCCCGTGATGTGGATGGCATCTATCATGGTTATGGTCTGCTGCATATTTACTGCCTTGCACTGGAACTCACCAGGGCCTGTGACATCTGCTGCCTCCGTACCCTTTTCTCCTTCAACAACATCACACTCCATAGTCTCTCCATCTACACTGCGAAGATACTTCCTGTTTCCTGGGGCTATTCTTTATGGCAGTCTGATGTGCAAATCCATCTTCCTTGGTGTCATTCCTGTTGATGAAACCATATCCATTTCTCACATTGGACATTTTACTGTTCCCAAAACCTTTGTTGCAATTCTTGTCCCTGCAGGCAGGCATTGCCATTGTGAGGCCACCTAGGCTGCTGCTTCCTATGGTGTCAGGCTTTGTGTTGGCAGCACTGGGGGCCTGAGGAGGGGGGCAGGTGGGTGGCGGGCAGCTGCTGGGTCTCAGCCTCGCTGCTCATGGTTACAGTCATGGTGACTGGGGCCAGCTGTAGCAGTGATGTTCCTCCTGGGGTGTGATAGTAACTCATAAGGAGTCCTTTTTGGCAGGTGCGTTCTTTCTCAAGGATGGCACTGAGAACGTGGGTGGTTATTTTTCAAGGCATCTATGGAGTTAGGGAGCAGGGACTAAGGTAAGTTAAAACATCACAAACTCACTGTTCTTACCAAGATTCCACAGGTTTTTTTTTTTACCAAATATTCCCTGGGTTAGTGTAAGCCTTTGGTTAATTTACAGAGTCCTGACAAAGTAGATTCTGACAATTTTTGCTAGTGTTTTCATTGCTTTTATGGAGGAACAAACTGTTAGAGATTCTTACTCTGCCATTTTTGCTACCATCATTTTTACAGTGTTTTTTCAACTGTACCCTCTGAAGCCAGAGTGCTTGCTAGGGAGCTAAGCATGGACCCTAACCCCATCCCTGCAAGCCAGGATGCATGATGGGGTTAGGGGTAAAGTTGTACGGAGATTTTGGATCTGGACGCAATCAGACGCTAAGACTTTCTCAATGTCTAGCCTCTGGTGCTCTCTTTTACAGTAAAGACTTGTTGAATTGATTAGTGCTTGGTAACCCTGGACTTGAACTTCATTTACAAATGATGATGTAGAAAACATCACCATTGTGGCTATAGCCTCCTTCCTAGGTCTATCTGCAGTTGTAGGAACCCTAAATAAATGTTCCCTCCCCTCCTCAAATGAAACTGTGGCTCTGGGTGAGAGTTCTGGGATCTAGAGTTCAGGATTTCCACATGAGGGGCTGGTAAGGGGGGGCCTAGGCTTTAGGACATTGACTTGAAGTTGCTGGAACAAAACTGTAAGCTGTCTTAAGCATTCAGCTATTCACATCAGAGAATGAGAGGTGATCCTTCTACTTATTGGCTCCTCCAGGGCCCAGGCTCTCTATTCCTTTTAGCCCCTGGGGCCACCTTAAGAAAATATTTGTTGAGTTGATCAGTGCTTGGTACCTTTGGAACTGAGCTGCATTTACAAATTATATTGCACCCAGTGCTAGTAGTCATGTGACTGTTAGGGGGCTAATGGTTAATGAGTACTTCTTTGTGCTTAGATTTGGGATGAGGTGTGTTCCTTGGTAAGTGGGCCCCCCAAATGATTGCCAAAGGATCCCCTCAAAGCTTTCCTCTGCCCTAGTGTAGGGGGACCAGCACCCTGCTGTCCAGAATGATGGCTATTTTCTCTTTCTTTTGGAAGGCAGAGGAAGATAGTGTTCAGACTTTCTGACCTCATTAGAAAGGGTTTTCAGGGAAATGGAATAAGTGTTAAAGATTCCTGTGAGTGCTCTGGATCCTTACTGTGGTGCCTGATTGGCCATCAGTGGCCACAGTCAGATGCTGAACTTGGGTATTTGCGTTTGGATCACAGCAACCCTGACAATCTGTTTAGGTAAACATGTGGAAATGGTGCCTTACTGGAGGTCTTCCCTCAGATCGCATTGCTTGTGCGCTCCCTGGCAAGCTGAGGGGATTATCTGTTGTCTGAGTTTTGGCAGCATGGACCTCTTTTGGGTGCTTGGCTATTTGTTGGCCAGATCCAGTGGATGGGGCTGCCCTGGGCTGGGTTTTCTAGGTAGCATTTGTGGCCTTAGGCTCTCAGGGAAGGGAAGGAGGCAGAATGTGGGCACTGAGTCAACTTCTTCACTGTTTGCAGAATTCCTAAGCTGCCTGGGGTCAGTGAGTACTGTGCCATCCTCAGCTGACTGTGCTATCATCAGCATGTCCAGCGGGCTTAGGGTTTCCTCTCAGGCTCCTGGCAGTCTGGAACCTTCAAGCATCCTGCCCTGTACCTACAGCCCTCACCTCAGTGCTGTATAGGACCTTCCCAGTGAGTCCCCTCCCCATCCTGGACCCAGCCCTGCCAGCCTCCGCTTTCACTGCGCTGCCCCCACGGCGGAACAATATCCTTTCTATTTGAAGTTGACTCCGCTGCCCTTTGGAGATCGCAGCGTGTAACGTGAATCCAGAGGCGTAGGGGGACAGGCAGCCCTGCAGCCAGCCTCCTGTCGTGGAGTCTGGCCGGAGGCGGCTGCTCCCGCTTCATCTGCGGTCCGAGGCTGGGGGGTCCGAGGCCCGTCTGTCGGAGCTACTGCCCCGCGGCCAGGAGGAGCTGCCATGGCCACCCGGCTGGGCGCACTCGCTGCGTCGGGGCTGTACCGGCGGCGCCAGCACCGCCAGAGCCCGCCGCCCTCCATGCCCCGGTAGGTGGCAGGCACAATGTCCGGAAAGCTGCAGCTGCAGGCTTTTCCTCTGACACCCTGCTGGGCCCTTCCAATGGGGCAGGGCCCTGCGCCTAGGGCGCGGGGACAGCGCCTGGGTTGGCAACAAGGGTGGGGCAGGGCACGACTTAAGCTAGCTGGGTTTAATGTCATCTGTGATCAACATTCTAGGGCAGAGCACTGAGGATGGGGTGCTTGGAATTAGTTACCCTGTATAAGCCCCTTTACTGCTTTCAGACTGTGATGATTTATTGCCACTTTATAGATGAGCAAAATGAGTGGCCAACCTACCGGACATCACCCATCCAAAAAATGGCTAAGCTGTGATTTGAACCCAGGTTGGCCCAACTCTAAAGCCTGAACTGCTTTATCCCATGGAGAACTGCCTGTGTAGACAAATGCTGAAAGCCTCCTCTTGGGATGGGAGGCGGGGAGTCTGGGGTTCAGGGTGGACCTCATCCACGAGGATGAGTTAACCTGCGGTGGGGACGGTATAAGGGGCACCTGGATGGTTGCGGAGCCCCCAGCTTGGGGGTCAGGGCTGCGGGAGGTCATTCTGGACATGTGAGGTTTGCAGTGCCCCAGGGTCATCTGAGTGGAAATGTCCAGTAAAAGGTGGGGGAGAGCAGGAGGGCTGTGAGCTGCAGGGTTGTCTGCGTTATAGTGACAAGTGGAGGAGGTGTGGGAGGAACTGTGGCAGAGGAGGGGGCGCCAGGGAGGAGACAGAGGGCAGCAGTCAGAGGTGGGGGACCTGAAGGGGACAGGGAGGAAAGGCAATCCGGGGCTAAGGGTACTCAGTGAACATGCAGCTCATGTGTGCCCGCAGTCAGGGCAGCCCTCCGGAGAGCTGAAGAGGCTGAGAACAGAGGAAGAAGGGCATGGGGGCGGGAGCAGGAGCAGAGGCTGCAGAACGGCAGTGTGGGGCAAGGCATGCAGGCCCAGCATGAACTAGGAATGGGACTGAGCAAGCCGGCTGCTTAGGTAGGGACCTGAGGCTCAGCAGGCTCAGCAACTCATCTGAGTGCACGGGAGCCCTCACTTTCTGGACTGCCTGTGACCTTCTGGCTTGTGCCCTCCCCAACTCTCTGGTGTCAGTATGACCAGTTAAAGTACACCTGTTTAAAAGTAAATGGACCTGCTAGAGCAAAGAGGTCCTGCTAGGGCTTTGGGAAGAGCTCCGTAATTTCTGACAGGCTCTGTACAGATGTAGAATATGTTTCTGATGGTGTAAATGCTTCATGTGTAGCAGCCCAAGGCAGCACGTTGATTTCCCAGCATCCCCAAAGCTGGGTGTGGGGCTGGCTTTGGGTAAGTTCCTGTTTCCTGCACGCAGCTGGCCCCTGACTAGCCTCTGGCCTCTGGCTGGCCTCATGGGAGGCCCAGGCAGTGCTGGGGCAGCTTCCACTCGAGCTTTGGGGACTGTGCTGAGTGGGATCCCCCTTCTGCCCACGCTGAGCCATCCTCGAGTGTGAACCCCGGCGGCTGGCCGCTGCTTGTTCCCAAGCCTTCACACTGTAGGCTCAAGTGCGCAGAGGCTGGAGTGGGGGAAAGTCTGGGATTGTTGAAAAAAACAGTCTTGAATGGCTATGCCTGTGTGATGTCACCAGGAACTGAAGGGACAGGAGAGAGCATGGGTCCAATCTTGTATGACCCTCAGCAGGTCACTGGCCCTGTCTGTGCTTCAGTTTCCTTCTCTGGAACCAGCAATCTCCCCTCCCAAGGGCCAGGCACAGGGAGGACTCCCCCCACCCAACCCCAGGCTAAAAATCATTGTAAAGCTCAGTGACCTCTTGCACAAACTCGCAGGTAAGCTTGTGTTGGCTGTAGAGACTGAGAGTATTTGGGGGTACTGGGGAGGGTTGGAGAAGGGTTACAGGATGGTGTGCCCTCCCCCAGGCTGGGGTTTGGCTTCCAGACAGCAGGGCACGCCCAGCAGTGTGTGCGTGGTGTCCAGCTGGGGCAGGTGCTGCTGTCCCCTTGGGGGCTGACAAGGCCAACTTTGGGCCCCTGTTCTCAGCTGGAGTGTATGAAGGAGGTTGTGGAATGTGCATGGCTCTCCCCTCTTGACCTCTTGCAGGAGCATAGGCAGGCTGCAGGCCTTCCCCTGGGCTGGGGGTTGGGGGCGGAGGGACCCTGGAAGGCTCCCAGAGCTGCGGGAACAACAGCTCTCTTTGTCCCCTGCTGAGCCTGCCTGTCCAGTGCTCCACACTCTCTGCCAAGAATTCTTCACAGGCTCTGTGAGGTGGTTACTGTTACTCTGGTGCACCTCTTTGCAGATGAGGAAATGAGGCCCAGAGAAGCTGGTATGTTTTTCTAGGTCCCACAGCAGGTGGCTGGGGCTATCAGGATTCGAACTGTGGGGAGAACCAAGGCCCCCACTTGTCTCACTGCCTCTCCCGCAGGAGATTGCTAACATTTTCTTCTTTTTCACTTTTTTTAGTTTTTAACTAATCAGATGATACAAATCATCAAATCACAGATCGTCACTCTGTGAATGCCCAAGCAACCAACTTGTCCTCATTCCCAAGGTCATACCCTCCTTAGCCTGCCCCCCCCTGCTGTCTCACACCCCCTGCCCTGGCCCAAGGACAGTCCTGGGGGGCGGCAGGGGCAGGGCTGGAGATAGGAAGAGCTAGCACTGCACAGCTAGTTTGGGTTGGGAAAGAGATTAGGAGGGGCAGGGTCTCCAAGACCTTTTTAAATACCAAACATCCAGCCCTATCCCCAACCCCTTTCAAATCATTTCCCGTAGCCCAGCTCCACTCTGCCCTGTCCCCACTACTAAATGACATGGCCTTTACACCATCCTCACCCCAACCCGCCCCTTGAGCCTCCCTCTGGTGGGACCTCCTGGACCCATTAGCTTCACGGAGCTCCCAGGGATGAAGTGCGGGACCCCGGGAAGGGCTATTGAAACTGAACCTAGCTGATGTGAGGCAGGTGTGGGCTAAGGAATAGTGGTGATGGTGCAGAGAGGAGCTTTATTTCCAGGCCCTCAGACTCTAAGGTCCCCTTTTCCCAACATCCCCCCAAAAATTCCAGGGAGAAGGTTCTCAGCTCCCCTGGACGGGGCTCTCCAGCTTCATGGTCTTGGCTGCTTTCCCAGTCAGCTCCCAGAAGTCCCCAAACTGCAGTGTAAAGTCGTCACAGCTGCGCAGGTTGGCAGCTCTCTCTTCTAGCCCATGGTTGCTTGGCATGAGGTGGGGCAGCTGCTGGGTGAGCAGGTCCCATAGCTCATAAGGGTCAGCGTTTCCTTTTCACCCTCCACCGAGTACTGGTGGAAATTCTTGATGAGGGTCTCAGTGGCCCTCTCCATGTCACTGAATTCCTGGGCCCCTTGCCACTGGCTGACCAACACTGTCCCATGGTGCCTGGTGTGCTCGGTCCTTTGGTGAGGTCCTTTTGTGTCTTCCTACCGCCTGTCTGGGAGAGCTGATGGCTCATGATCTGCCTGCTGGCAGCCACTAGCATTTTCTCTGATGGTGCCATGGTTCAGTTTTGGGCACATTTGCACCTCTGTCCATCCCTCTGTCTTTGAACAGTGGGTTGAAGTATTGTCTGCTCCTGGGTAGAGTGGCATGGGAAAGTGGCCACAGAAGTGTCATTAGGGGTGCTACTGCATGAGACTTGGGCTGGGGCAGCCAGTGGCTGCAGGAGGTAGACGGTCACCCCACACGCCACTTGCTTATGCCAGGGCTTGTATGAGGTGTGTAGGAACAGATGGCATCATCCCTGACCTGAGACACCCAGGAACCCAGCCAGGAAACTAGATGTAGATCAGTTCAGGGCCAGTCCTTCTCATTAGAGGGCTGTGGTGACCATGTGAAGATGCTGTTCGTCAGCCCTGGGGCAGAGATGGGGGCTCTGGAAGGCTAGGCAGAGGTTGGGTGTGCTGTGCGCTCACTTGGTTGGAGCCCAGAGTCTGGGTTAAGGAGCATCCAAAAGCCTGGGGCTGGACTTGAATCCTTGTTTTGGCTTCATTTTCTGGGTCCTTCGAGTGGGGAATTCCAGGCCCAGAGTCACAGGATTTCCTGTTGATTTCCAACTTCTCTGAGACCTTCAAAGGCCTTGTTCATGGCCCGGCATTGGGATTTCCTCCCTGCCACCTTGGGTGTGCACTTTGGGAGGACAAGGCAAGGTTCACAGTGTTCTGGGGGCAGGAAACCATGCATGTGCTGACAAAGTCCAGCCCAGCCCTCTGTGGTGCCTCAGGCGGTCAGTCCTCTGTCCCTCTGCCACTGTGGGGACCAGCAGGGAGCGGGGGGTGGTGGTGCTGAGCATAGAGCCTTCCTTTTATTTTGGGCTTTGCCCACTCTTCCTGCCACTATCCTGATTCCTTGTCCCTGAAGCTTAAATATGAACATCGGAGGGGGAAGGGCTTTGCTCCCCACAGCGTGCCTGTGCAGAAACCCAATACGTCTGGCCAGGTGCTGAAGGCCTTTCTGCCCTGCTCCTGCCATGGGGCCCCTAAGCAGAGCAGAGGGGGTCCCGCCTGCATCTCAGCCTGGCCTCCATGCTGTGTTCCACAGCAATCCCCCATTAGATCCACTCTCACGTCCCATGCCTACAGCCCCGGGAGCAGAGCCCACTCCCACCTCCGGAGTGGAGCGTCTCCTGCCTGTGGTTGCCATATGATGAACTTCACTCACTCAGCAATTCTCTTCATAGTTTTGCGCGGTGCAGGAGGGGTAGGAGGCAAGACAGGCCGGAAAGATGCTCTCAAAGATGCCCTGCCCACACATGCCCAGCATGTGTCCCCTCACTGAGCCTGCCCATCTTTCCTTGCCCAGTTTTCCAGGCAGCCACCACCAGTCCATCAGAGTTGTTACTTGGACAGCACCTGTTTGCCACATGGTGAGGAAAGGCCCAGGCATCCAGGTGTTGGAAGGTGGCAGAGGCTGTGGGTCTGGAGTGGACCCTGGCCAGGCCTCGGGGCCCAGGGCTGAAGTCAGCACAGGCCTGGCTCAGCGTGGGCACTTCCCCTGCAGTTCAGTTTGGATTTCGTTCCTCTTAGAAGGAAGCCCACCACGTCCACCAGCGACAGCAGTTACCCACCGTGGACAAGGTGGTTTGCTCTCCACCCTGCTCCCGTCCCAGACTCACACTCACTTTCTCCATGATAGGGTGCTCACATGTTTGGGGTGGGGGGCAGTAGATTTGAAACTAGCTCATGGTGCAGGGGGAAGCACACTGAAGTCTGACCAATCTGGGTTCAAATCTGGGCTCTGTCATCTGCTCTGTGCGCTTGGGCAAGTTACTTAACCCCTCTGAGCTTTAGGTCTCATCTGGGAGGCAGGGTTGCCTTGGGGTTTATACGAGAGTGTGAATACAAAGCTGCTCACCTGTGCCTGGGTGATATTCTATACCTGAGACACTCTCTGGTGCCCTGAGAAAGTGACAGGAGGCCCAGGTGGGAGCTGATGTGGCTGCTGACAGCCCAGAGATGGCCCAGTAAGATGAGAGCGGAACAGCCGGGGGACCAAGTCACTGGCATTGACAACCACAGCACCGCCTTTTGTGGGGGTTTCCCACAGACCAGGGGCCCTGTGTGTGTCCGTCACCTAACCAGCCATGATTAGAGTCCTTCCACATTAGGGTCTGGTGCAGACAGCGAGGAACAGCCCAGGCCAAGTAGTGAGCGGGAGCAGCCGCCTGGAGCCGACTGCTCCGATCGGTGTGTGCCTGGCTGTGTGGCACGGCCTATGTCTGAGTGCAGAGAGAGTCAGGGGTTTCAGAGGAGGGGAGCTTTGCGTCTAACCCGCTGTGGCCGTTGGGAAGGTCACGCACTCGATCCAGGCCTCAGCTTGTTCATCTGTGAAACGGAGATGCCGCGTTGGCCTTGCAGGATTGCCATCGGGGACGGACGCTCCAGGTCCTGGCATGTGCTGTACTGCGCGTGACCACGGCCCGCAGAGCTATGGGATATATGGCAGCTGTGCAGCGTGATCCAAGCCTGTGCCAGCAGCTTGGCCCCAACCACGTGTCTCTGAGTCCCCACAGCACCAGGGCTGTCATCGAGTGAAGAAAGCATTATCCCTCACCCCAGAAAGCATTGAACCCATCGAAGGAGGAGGTGTGTCCAGCGTGGCACCTTGAGGCCTGCTCAGCCTCACCCCTCCCAGTCCTGACCTCTGTTCCTTCTCTTCCCCCCCCCCCCCCCCGCCCTGCAGCAACATGTCCAGCGCCTTGGCCAATGCAGTGTGCCAGCGCTGCCAGGCGTGCTTCGGTCCCACCGAGCGGATTGTCCACAGCAGCGGAGAGCTGTACCACGAGCACTGCTTCGTGTGTGCTCAGTGCTTCCGGCCCTTCCCCGAGGGGCTCTTCTACGAGGTGAGGATACTCCCAGGACTTCAGCCAGCTGCCTCCTTGAATCCCCAGCCCCCACCCAGCTCTGCATCTGCTTTGCAGGAGCCTGTGGGCTGAGCCAGGCCAGGGTCCTGCCCAGTGACTGATGAGGCAGCCATGCAAGGCCTTGAGCTGAGCTGTGCTCCCTCCAGCCAGAGCTGTGCTTGCCGCACCTCGTGGGCCTGTCCCTCAGCTCTGACATGTGAACACTGCTCCTCTGGTGACTGTGGGTACTGAAGGAGAGCCGCCTTTCATCCAGACTCCTCTGGGCAGACTCTGGGAGGCCCTGACTGCAAACACTGTGCCCAAGCCCCTACCCTCCCTTAAGGTCAGACAGTCAACTCAGAACTATGATGTTTATCAGATGGTGCTAAGTGCTCTGGCCATGGGGTGTGGAGGGTGGGTGGTCAGGGAAGGTAATGTTTGAGCAGTCCTGAAGCAAGTGAGGGAGCCGTGCACATAGCTGCAAGAAGAGCACGCAGCAGGAGGGCACAGCAGGTGCAAAGGGCCTGAGGTCAGAGATGCAGGGTGTTTGAGGAGCAGGAGGAGGCTGGTGTGAGGGAAGCAGAGAAAAGGAGAGGGAACAGCAGGGAGGCAGATTTTGTCTGGCCCTGTGGGTCTTAGGATTCCACTGTGGGAGAGGCAGAAGCTATTGCAGAGTATGGATCGGAGGAGCCACACGGTCTGTCCCACCCTGGGAAAGGACCACTCTGGCTGCTGTGCTGAGGGACTGGAAGAGGTGCAGGGACGGAAGCTAGGGGAACAGGTGGGATCAGAAGCCGGATTATTGCAATAATCCAGGTGAAAGTGAAGGGGCCTAGAGTGGACCACACTTGCTCATAAGAGCAGATTGTTAAATTTTCAACAACCTTGCAAGCTGGTTGTTAGACACAGCTGTTATTAAAAATTAAATTATAGAAATGTACAATGAGATAAAATTTTATTAAAAACAAAGGTAACAAAACTCAAAACCCACCACTTCCTAATTATTTTGTTACATTTTACCATCATATATACCTTTGAAGTTACTTCTGTCTGCCTGTGTGGAGGGCACCCCATGCTGGTATACTACCACACATCTCGTCTCACCTCTGTGGTGACGTCAGGGAATATATGCACCATAGAAATGGGCAGACACCACAAGCCAGTACCCCCCTCCACCAGAGCTGGTTGTTAAACTTTTACCAGCACACCACTGTTGGTTGCAGTGGGGCGGGTGACCAGTGGCAGAGGCTGGGTAGATTCCGAAGGTCGAGCTGATGGGATTGGCTGATGGATGGCCGTGGGTGTGTGATCTGCCTGGCAGAGCAGGAGTGCCTCTTGGGAAATGCTGGCCAACTGTACAGGCAGTGGGAGGGGTGGGCAGAGTTCTGAGAGTGGTGGCCATGTGTCTAGAACAAAGCCTGGCACACAGTAGGTACTCAGGGGATGTTCGCTGCTGAATGAGTTTATACCCCAGCTGCCTCTACAGGTCACTGGGTAGGGCTATATCCAGTAGCAGCCTACTAAGACACTCATTTTAAAGAACAGGGGAAAGCCAAGTTAAATTATCAAGGTAGAACAAAGCAGAGGCAGGCTCTGGCCACTGTTGGTACTAATGCAAAGGCCCTCATTGCCCAGACAGATGGGGACAGTGGCTGCCTGGCTGGTGTCCACACTGGCTCCTGCTGACTGCAGGATTCAGGGCTCTCCCTTGGACCCACCTGCCCTTCCTGTCCCTCCGCTCCCTGCCCCTCCCCGCCACCCGTGTTCCCTCCCTGGGTCTTTTGTGACCTCTGGGGAAATGAACTTCTCACAGACAAGACACACAGGGAATGGGGCAAAGTGACACGTACAATTCAAACTTGACCCCAGTCCTCAGCTGGCTTCCAGGACCCACGAGGCCAGCATCTTCATCAAACAGCAAGGCCCTGAGGGCTGAGTTGCTGAGGTCCCTGCTTTACCGAGGCCCCTCGCACTGCACCTCCCCATATCGAACAGGCCCTCTGTTTCTAAGCCTTGCACCTGCTGCACCCTCTGTCTGCAATGCCCTTCTCTCAGTATCCCCACCCTGCTCTCTTTCAACTCTTGATCACTTCCTCCAGGAAGCCCTCAGGGAGGGTTGAGTGCTTTCTCTGCTCCCTAGGGCCGGCTGAGTGGCTCAGTTGGTTAAGAGCTCACTCAAGAGTATGAGCTCTGAGCAACAGGGTCACTGGTTTGATTCATGGTCTGAGCTGAGCTGCCACTGAGCTGCCAACAGGTGGCAGGATGGCTCAATTAAAAAAAAACAACACACAAAAAAGCAGTGCTTTCTCCGATCCCTGAGGGGTAGCAGTTGTACAAAGTGGGGTGCTTGTCCAGCTGAAGGGCAAGTCCTGATCCAACAGAGACTGGCCAGCGCAGCTCGGGGAATGATGGCTGGTTGGCTTGTACTTTCTCTGTTGGCTCCATTTGCAGTTTGAAGGCCGGAAGTACTGCGAACACGACTTCCAAATGCTGTTTGCTCCGTGCTGTGGATCATGTGGTAAGGGCTGGCGACAGATAGCACATGCCTTTCCTTGGCCCCGGGGGAGTGTGCGGGCAGGATCATGGGATCTCTTCCCTGACCATCTCTCTGAGAATCAGCCTCCGAGCTCCTATAGGCATTACCTTCTCAAGTTCTGGGAGTGGAGCCCTTGGACCAGGAGAAGCGCCCGCCCATGTGGACTGGGCTTGGGGCAGGTCTGAGGAGGGGGAAGGGCACGTGCCCTGCGCTGGCGAGCAGGGACCTCTCTCTTCTAGGTGAGTTCATCATCGGCCGTGTCATCAAGGCCATGAACAACAACTGGCACCCGGGGTGCTTCCGCTGTGAGCTGTGTGATGTGGAGCTGGCTGACCTGGGCTTTGTGAAGAACGCGGGCAGGTGAGCTGGGCCTGCCCAGGTGAGATGGGCAGGGAGGAGGGCCTCATCACAGGCGCTGTGCACTGAGTGCCAGGCCTGTTCCAGGCACTGTGGCCTGTGATGACGTGGCTGCCGGCCCTGCCATGTCCCTGCTAGGCAGATAAGAGGGCCTTGGTGTACAGGTGAGGACTAAAGATGAAGAGAGTGAGGGGTGATGAGTCAGAGCCCCCAGGCTTGGGAGAGTCCATGGGAGCAGGCTGACTGTGGACAGCAAGGAAGAAGGTAGCTGGAGTGGTAGCTACTCAATGCAGGGGATGGGTAAGGAGCTTGAAGTCAGGTCACTACTGCCTTCCCCCGTCCCCACCCCCACACTGCTGACACTAGCCATCTATGTCCTTCCTGTAACCACGGCTAGATGCTGCTGGAGAGAAAGCACTCAGCGAGGGGTCCCAGATTCACTTAAATTCAGGGCCATCAATCTCATCGGTGCTCAGGGCTAGGCCTCCCTAGTAGCCTGAGTTCCACCTTCCCAGAAGACTCACTTTTTTTTCCTCACCCCTCCTCCTACCGCATGGTGATGACCTCCCCTCCCACCTCCCTGAGGGGACAGGCTGTGAGGGCACCCTTGCTATCCAGCATCTGTGCTGTCCCCAGCCTGGCTGTTCCCCTGGCTGTTCCCCTGCTCACCCTGCACCTTCTTAAGAGGGCTTGCAGCTTCCACAGCTCTCTTTCTCCCTGTCTAAGGGATCAGGCTGGGTAGCTCCCGTGGTCCATAACGCCCTCTGAGTCTTCTTCCCACATGGCTCTCCATTCCCTGTAGTCTTTCCCAGCATACCTGCTGGCTCCTCCCATCTGTTCCCCACTGTCCAGTCTGGTTGGGGTCCCTGTGGCCTCCACATGGCCAGATCCGGGGTCACTGCTGGCCTCTCAGTGGCCTTTACTGCAGCAACCCTCTTTCTTGCTGAAATGCCGTCTCTGGGCACCCAGGCCCCTGTGTTCTCTTGGTTTCCTCTTGCCTGACTCTTCCTCTGGCTTACCTTTCCCCATCTCATGTTGGGCTCCTTTGGGCTCTGCACTTGGCCCTGTCGTCTGCCCAATATCGCAGAGCCCTAAATGGCATGTATGTACTGGACAAGTCATATGCGCACCTCCACCCCAGACCTCTCCCTTGCGACACTCAGCTGCCCACATGCCATCTCATCTTGTTGTCCAGCTGGCATCCCAGTGCAGCAGGCCTCAGCCGACTCTGAGTTTCTCAGCCGTTGACCACCAGTCTCAGGGAAGAGCACCACCTATCTCATTATCAACACCCTAGCTGTCTGCTGACCCCCACACCCTCTCATGTCTGGGCACTCATCCCCCTCTCCATTCCCTGTTGTAGTACCCCTCACTTCTTCCTGATGCTGCTCTAGCGATCTCGTCCACTTGCCTGCCCCATGTTGCCTCATGTCCATCTCGATGTCTACAGGGCACTCAGCAGGAGCCCGAGTTCTAAATGAGAGGCTGTGAGTCGCAGGCAGTGCCTGGGGGGCTCTGTGCTGATCAGCAGGCAGGATCATCTGTCAGATGTGTGCCTGAGCGAATCCTGTTCCACTCCTGAGCTACAGCTCACACTGTGCCCTCAGCCCTACTACTTTGCTGGGGAAATGAGGAAGAGGCTGGAAGTGCTTAGGAAAGGAAGATGTGATACAAAAGTAAAGTGTTGCTGTAATGAAAGGGGGCAGGGCCCTCGCTCGGACCCTCCCAGCCCAGGCTGGCACTCTGAAGACCATGGTGCAGAACCTTGGGGTCTGTGTGGGGTAGGCATATTGTGGGGTGTCAGAACCACAGTCAAGAGCGGGCACCGCCCCACCTCAGCTCCCTTCACCTCCACTCTGTCATTCTTGTATCAAAGGGAGAGGTTCTGGGAGGTGTGTTGTGTTAACCAAACACAATAATCTTTAGAATTTAAAGTAAAGTTATGTTTATAACCAGTATAATCAAGTACAGAAGAGGACCTGTGAGGGTGATACATGCCACACTCTGAAGTGAAACAGCTCAGAACTTGGCCAGTCAAGGGAGAGAGTGGGGCTAAGGACACCCCTGCTGGTCTGGGTTAGTGGGAGGCAGGTTCACATGCCAGGACCCGGTTCCCCACCCAAGGCATCCTCAGGCTGTGACAAAGCCTGTTGTCCACTCATGCTGTGTGCTCGGGCAGGACTAGGGATTGTCAGGGCATGTGTAGGTCCGTGTGGGAGTTTACAGCAGGAAGAATCAATAAGTGATGTGCCCCATGGGCCATGTTTGCTGGATATCACCTGGTGACGAGCCTGAGATGTATTTACCTACAGGGTTCAGCTATAATCTATAGTTTGTGTCTCCTAAACTCAGGGGTCATCTGGCAAAGGTACCACAAAGGGAACTCAAAGTACCCTGCACTTAATAGGAACTATTTAGACAACCTTCTACCCCTCACAAGACTCCCGTGTGCCCTCTTGTCACAGACCATTTGCAGCTGCCTTCTGGGCTCTTTCTGCCCAGCTTTGCTGCTGAGTGTTTCTGTAGTGGCAGGGAGGCTGGGACTTGGCAGGTAGTGCCTGGAAAAGGCCACTCATTGTTCCGGAGTTACTCCTCTTGGCCTCCTTGCCTCCTCCCTTACCACGAGGTGAAGTCACTGAGTATCTAGTAACCATACGTGAGCAGGGGCCAGCATGGTCTGCAGAGGGGGCCGCTGATTGGTCCCTGTCAACAGTTCTCCCTTTTTAGGGATTTGTGCATCAGATAAGACAGAACTTGGTGCTGGGTGATGCGTTCCAGCCTTGGAGGGAGTGGTAGTGACCTGCTGCGATTTCAGCTTCTTTTCTCGGGGTGTAGCTGGGAGAAGGTGGGCTTCTCCTTCGAGACTCAGGGAGAAGCCTGAGATCCCTCAGGGCAGGCTCTGTGGTGTGTGGGGCTCACAGCTCCGACCTGGCGCTCAGTGAGCTCTCGTTGGTTTTCCCCTCCAAGCTGGCGGGCGGTCCTGAGAGCCGTTTGCCACAGAGCAGGTTGCACAGGGTGTGGCGGAACTTCTCGGCCACAAAGAAGTACATGACAGGGTCGAGGGCCCCGTTGAGGCTGGTGAGGCAGGAGGTGATGCGGTTCCCCAGGGCCAGGGCGCGCTGGGCGGCGCACGAGGCACCGGGGCCGCTGCGGCGCAGCACGTACACGGCGCGGTGCACGTGGTAGGGCACGAAGCAGACCAGGAAGATGGCCAGCACCATGGCGACCATGCGCACTGCCTTGTTCCGGAGGCGCTTCTCCACGCGGGGGCCTTGCCGCAGGCTGCGGATGATCAGCAGGTAGCAGGTGACCGTAGTGACAAACGGGAAGGTGAAGGCCACAGCCAGGGACACGAGGGCATGGTGGGAGGCCCTCTCCCGGTACAGCTGCAGGCAGACGACCGTGTGGTTGGTCTGCACGGTCTGCGGGCTTATCAGCAGTGGGGCCATGGCTACTGCCACCACCACCCATAGGAAGATGCAGGCCAGGTGGGCGTAGAGGGGCCTGCGGAGCTTGAGGGACTTGACGGGGTGCACAATGGCCAGGAAGCGGTCAGCACTGATGCAGGTGAGGAAGTAGATGCTGGCATACATGTTGAGGTAGAACAGGAAGCCAGTGAGGCGGCACAGGATTTCCCCAAATGGCCAGTGGCTCCCTGAGAAGTGGTAGACGAGGCGGGTGGGCAGGACCAGCACACAGGACAGGTCCGCCACAGCCAGGTGCATCAGGAACACATTGGCGGGGGTGCCTGACCTGTGGTCCCGGATGAAAAGCCACAGGGCCAGGGCATTGCCGACAAAAGCCAGGAGGAAATCCAAGAGGTAGAAGGAGGCGAATAGGACGTTCTCCAGCCATGTCTCCTGGCCACACTGGTCTGCCGCAGCCAGGGAAGAGTTGGCCATCAGGCCCGGGGAGGCTGCCTTGAGGCCGGTCATGCTCCAGCCAGAGGAGCCCTGGAGGAGCCTGGAAGGAACAAGTGGCCAGGTCCAGGTAGGGCACCACCCTCCGTGGGAGCCCAGAAGAGAGCCCTCAATGCCTCCAGAACCTGCTAGCTCCTAACCCCAGGAGCCATGCTATTCCACGCTCAGTCTGGGGGACAGTGAGGGGACCTCCTGTGTCCATCCGGTCACAGGCTTTCTGAACTTCAGCAAACAGCACAAACTGAACCAGGGTCTGGAGTTTGTCAGGCTGTTGCTGGGCCATCTTCACTGCATAGCTGGGCCTTGCTGAGTGTGCGAAGGCCTGAGCCTGGCCAGTTTTCCCAGAGTCCACTGTCTTAGCCCCAGGGCATGGAGTGGGCAGTGAACCTTGTCTGTCTAAGGCTCTGGGAGTGGGAGGATGGAGGGAGGGGTCCCATGTTTTCTGTCCTGTCCCCAGGTTGCTATCTGAGTGGCTGGGGTGGCACATGAGGCCCTGAGCCCCACTTCTGATGGGCGAGTGGGCTACCTATTCCCAAGAGCCTGGTGCTGGGAGCCCGGCCAGCTCCTCTCCAGCCTTGGCCTTGCCAGTAGCAGTGCCGAGTGTGTTGCCACTTTCTGCTTGTCTCCTGTGGGCCCCTGACAACAGCTTCCCCAGCTCTTGCCCCAAAGGAGGGCCCCACGAGAAATGCAACCGAAGGGTGTCCCAGGAGGTCAGATGCCTGCCATACAGGGACAGATCCTGGGGTCTCTGGAGCCTTCTGAACTCAGCCCCCCTACTCTGTTCTGCGCATCCTGAGATGGAGAAATCTCTGCCCTCGGGCCTCAGGCCCACGGGCATTTTAGCACTAGGAGTCCTTTAACAACCAGGAGCAGGTTCTTTCCCAGGAGAGACAGAGCCATTTCACCCACAGATAGAGACTGGCCAGGGTTTTCTAGATCTGCAACCCCAGAGAGGCCGGGCCCAGGAGGACACCTGTCTGCCTGGCCTCACTTGCCTGCTTTACCCACACCTGAGGGGCCAGCTCAGAGCCCTGCCAGTCTTGGCAACGGCCATTTACATGGTGAATGGATCTTGGTTCTGGGTGGGTGTTGCCCCACCCCCACCCCCAGCCCACCCCTGACAGACAGGGTAACATACACCTGTTTTGATTTTGGTAAACTCAGGAGATCCAAAAAGGAGAGGGTAGGTCCCAAACACCCTGACTCCCTCACCAGGCCTGGGAGTGGGAGGTGTGGGCAGGAGAGGGCAGGATACCAGGGACCCCCTGCAGCCTGAGCTGGGGTCAGGGAGGCCACCAGCCCCTGCTCCTCGAACCCTGAGGTCGCTAAGGGACTTCAGCCTGGTGGACCCTCACCTGCGGCACAGCTTCTGGGGTTCCCCTGGAAGCTTGGTCTCCTGGCCTGTGTGTCTGGGCTGCTGGGGGTTGTGAGAGGGGCTTTTTAGAGGAAAGAAGCCATTTCAGCAGTGGGAGGAGGAGCCCAGGCTATATATAGCACAGCAAGGTGGCAGGGTGCAGGGTCCTTCTCCTGGCTAGGCATGCCTCTATGCTGAGCAGCCATGGATCTGGAGTAAGTCTGCTGCAGGCTTGTCCTGGCCTTGGTTTCCTCTCCTTTTAATGATTATAATACCTCTGGCAGGGGCTGACATGAAGAGTGGGTGTGTCCCAGGGGGCATGGTGATGGGCTCTGTTAGTACAACAGCCCCTTGTGGGGAAGGGGCTTGGTTGCCACCCCTGGGCATGGATGAAGAAGCAGGCATGTGGGGAGGGCCTGGCATGCCCTCCTGCAGTCAGAGGAGCAGGGCAGGTGGTCCTGTCTGGCAGCCTGGGAGCAGCTTGACCCTCCTCATCAGGCCTCATCAACCACCACAGGTCCCTCAGCCCCCTGTCCCATATGGAGGGGTGAGGGCCTGCTGGCTGAGCAGAGGGAGCCAGGGGCAATGTGAGTGAGTGGCAGAAAGTGGTTGGCCAGCCCATGGCCTCAAGTAAAGGTGGTATGCATATCTAATAATATGTTTTAATTAGTCCCCCTGCCCAAATGATTTTCCTTGGCTCCAGAGTGTTTCGGGATGCTTGCAGTTCAAATTCAGAGATAATTTTCCTGCTGCTTTCACGTGTGTGTGGCCTGAGGGTGAAGACTTGGAGGCTGGAAGGGGATAGGGCCAAGTGAGTGAGGGGTCCTGTTGAAACCCAGGGGTAAAGGAGGGGGTGCAGAGAGGCAGAGCTGGGTACCTTCCACTCCAGGCTGCCTCCCAGGACTGGACCTGCCCCACAGTGCAGTTGTCACCTGCCCCTCCATGCAGGCTGCTCATACAGACTGACAGCTGCTCTGCCTGGCACAGGTGGGCGTGCCTGTGCTTGCTCATGCCAGTTCTAAGAGGCAGGCATCAATACCCCCTTTTACAGATCAGGAAACCAAAGCTCTGACTCTGCTAATTTGCCCCAGGTCACAGCCAGGGGCAGTGGCCCTGGAGTTGGCAGTCAGATGAGGGAGACTCAGCAGTGACACCCAGCACCTCCCAGGACACTGCCTTCCTTCTAGCGACTGACAGGCCCCAGTTGCCAGAGCTGGGAGTGTATTGGGGGTCTCAGAATTTGCACTCAAGTTGTCTCCCAGGTTTAGCACCTTCTCCTTGGGGCCTGGCTCCAGGACCAGTGACAAAATTTGGGGGGCCTAGCATAAAATGAAAATGTGAGGCCCTTGTTCAAAAAGTAGGACTTTTAAGATGGTGACAGCAGAGCATGGGACCCTCTGTGAGGACACAGGTTGCTCAGTCCGTTCTGACCCTGGATGGGTGTACCTGCACCTGCTTTGTGTCTCTTGCCCAGTGGCCCCAGCCTCTCACCCCTGCTGAAGTCTGCATGCACATGTGCTATTTTTTTTTTTTTAGCTGAGCCATTCTGCCACCTGTTGGTAGCTCAGCAGCAACTCAGCTCGGGAATCAAACCAGCGACCCTGTTGCTCAGAGCTCACACTCTTGAGCGAGCTCTTAACCAACTGAGCCACTCGGCCAGCCCTAACATGTGCTCTCTAGATTGAGACTTGGTTTTAAAATGCTTTTAGGCTTGTTTCTGGATAGTTGAGGTTTCTCTACTCCTCGTTTTAGGAGTTTTGATGTTGATTTTTGCAGTGTGGTCTAATACGGGCCCATCTCATTCTCCATGCATTCCATAGAAGCATGAGCCTGGCCTGCACGGACCCGCTCCATGCTGGTTTGCTCTGCTAAGGGAAGAGAGGCTGAGGGTGCATGCCATGGGGTGTGGCCTGGGGGCAGGGGCTGGGGCATGGCTGTGGGTGAGGTGTGCAATGGGGGAGGCGTGACCCCAGTCGGAGGCCACAGTGGCCATGCTGTGGCAGGTGGGCAGCCCAGCATCTCCCTCCCGCTCCTGCCTGTGCCACGGCAGCTAATGGTGAGGGGGCCTGGGAGCTGACTCATTGTAGCCATGGGTCTGAGGCAAGGCACTCAGCATCTGTAAGCCCCTTCAGTGGGACAGGGACACCGCCCTGTGGGGCTGCTGTGATTCAGACTGGGGCATCTTCCATAAGTAGGTCCTACCATTATCACAGAGAGGCACCTCAGGGACAGGGACACCCCATCCCTGCCCTGCTTGAAGTTTGCTCTGTGTGGCCCCTGAGCGCCCTGCCTGCCCCACCCAGCCCTGGCCCTTACCTTTCACAGCCGAATCCAGGAGGAAGGGGCAGGAAGACTGTAGGGGTGGCAGTGGGCTGCGGCCAGTGGGTGGTGACGCTGGCGGTGGGCTCTGTGCAACTGTGGTAGAAGGCTGGCTATTTAAGGAGAGGAAGGGAGGCTGCAGCCCCTGCGGCCCTGAAAGGCTGCTTCATTCTCGAGGGGTCCCTTGTGTGGTGGGCCACTCCTACGGCTGCCTCTGCTGCCACTGGGCTGTGAATATTCTAGTGTGTCCCAGCCCTTGAGTCCCCCCTACCCCCAGCTTGGCCACAGAGCATCACAGAGGCCAAGTGTGTGACTGTCTTCGAAGCCATGGAGTGGGTGAAGGCTGGGTAGGGGGACTGGCTGGGACTAACAGACACAACAGGACGTTTCAGAAGGGGACAATTTCCTACCAGTGGGGGTTGGGGGGGGGCGGTGCAGGGACGGGCTGGCTGCAATGGCAACTGGCCCAGGCTCCCAGGCTCCCAGGCCTGCAGGGGTTACAGTGGAGGGGTCTTGTGAATGGGGAGGGTGGGAGGCTGAGGAATCTTATTTGGTCGAATGAGAGGGGACTCTTTCAGGACACTTGCTGTAGGGGCCTTGTGTCCTGCCCTGTATAATTAGGCTCCGTTTGGCCGTGTGGAATAAACCATGGCCTTTATCGTGAGCAGGACACAGCTGCAGCCCGCCTCATAATGGGGCGCTGTCTGTGCCTGTGGGGATAGCTCAGTCCGGGAGGCCTGGCCCTTGGCCTGTGTGGGCTTCTCCTCTGGCTGGGAGGCCCGTGAAGAGGGCCACTGCTGCCACTGACCACTGGCCCTCAAGACCTCCCCTGGGGGGTGCTTGAGACTGGGGGTGTTTGGATGTTGGCAGTGGCTGCTCCATAGACTGCTCCAGCAAAGCTCGTTTCTCCCTGTCTTTCTAAAAATGATACATTCAGTGGCACGGAACCAAATCACTGTTCCTAATTTCAAAAGACTTTTAAATATTTTAGTTAAAAGGTGAGATATGTACATAGCTATCACTGAGAAGTAACTACCACATGTACTCTCCTAAACTTGTTTTTCACACAGTCCTGGCCAGTCGGGTCTATTGCCCCTTACAGACGAGGAACAGGCTCGGAGAGGTGAAGTAACTTGCCAGCATCAAGCCACTAGGAAGTGGCAGAGCCAGGGTTTGAACCCAAACACGTGTGTGTTTGTTTTGTTCTGTTTTTCTTTTGCACCTTGATGCTACAATTCTTCGGCTCCATCTTCATTCTGCCTGGAAAAAGATTCTGCAAGTTGCTTTCAAGTCTGGTGCTGGGATCAGGTCTATCGAAAGATGTTTCCCTCCTGGGCTTCCTTCTTGAGAGCTGGGCTCCTGGATCCTGTCCTCCCTGGGAACCAGTGGTGGCAGATGTGGGGCCTGGGCACGGCCTGCTCTGCCATGCCCTGGGAGCAGCATCTGGAGAACAGGCCCACATTGGTTCAAAGAGGGTGTCTTGACTGGCTGCCTGATCAGGGCGTTTCTCTTGTTGGGGTGATTGCTGACAGAGACTCTGAGGGCACTGAGCATTGCAATAGAATTTTGGGGAGGTGCGCTCACTTCTATAGCTTTGAAACCAAAGCTATTCCATATGGGTTGAATGTTGTCCTGATGCTAAGAGGAGTCACCAAAATTGACAGTAGGGTTACAGGGAGTAAATACTGTGTCCGTGACAGAGACACAAGTAGGTGGTAGTTGTGGTGTGGACAGGCTAGCCACAGTGGGTGGCTGGGGGAGTTGCAGGGGGCCTGGCAGGCCATCTGGGGCACAGGGTGTCTGGGTGAGAGCGGGATAGGGAAAACTCATCAGGCTTCAGGGATCTGGGCACTGGAAGGGTTGAAGCCTTAGTCACGGAGATGAAGGCTGCAGCCACAGGCCACATCTGTGGCCCATGGTCAGGTAGAGAGCCAGAGCTCCCAGGCCAGGAGACCAACTCCCAGTCTCGGCCTGGCCATGCTGTCATGGGGAGGTGATGGCCACTGTTCCTCCCTTCCTCTCTCACAACTGTTCATTCACTCACGTGAGCTGTTGTGGTGTGTGGTGAGCACAGCTGGGAGCTGTCACAGCTTAGCAAGTGGCTGTGGGGTATTCCCTTGGGCTCCTAGCTGCTCACAGTTGCTGGGGAGGTAAGACAGACAGGGCAGGCAGAGAGCGGTGGTGTGCATCACGGGGAGCAGACCCAGGTGAGTTGCAGTCCCTGCGGTCAAGGGCGCGAACCTGAGCTGGCTGTCCTGGCACCCAGGATCTGCCCACCACACCTGGCCTGAGACTCAATCTTCAATGGACTGCCTGACTGCCTATAAAGAGGCCCACACTGGGACCAGGTGAAGGGTGGACAGGCTCCCTGTGGGCCTGGGGCCTGGGAAGGGAGGCGGAGGGCCCAGATGCATCAGGGGCACTTGAAGATTGGGGTACCAGATAGGGATAGGGAGCCATGGATTGGGGCCTTTGTACATCTTTGCCGGGGGACCCTTAATCTAAGTTCCTGCCACCTTTGAAGCTCAATGAAACAGAGACCATGTTGATTTCTGTTAGAGACCACAGCTGCTGCCCAAACACAGGGAGTAGCATCAGAAATTACTCTGAAGTCTTCACAAAAAAGACTCTGTAATGACAGTTCTTGGGCTTGGAGGCCTCTGTCTGACACAGCCATGCTTGTCTTTGGAGACAGAAAGAGCCTTTGGATGTTTATCTCTCTTTGTCAGGCAGACCCCAAAGGAAGGGGTGCGCGGGCCGGTGGATCTGGCCCTCCTTGGCTACTCTGCTGGACACGGGGCGGGGGGCGGGGGAAGTGTTGTAAGGCTAATAGTTGCTATATGATTACTGTTGTGTTAAAAGACATTTGAAAGATAAAACTAATTTTTCAGCAAATGTCAGTGAGATGTTTATTCCACACAATGTCCTAGGCTCAGAAAAAGTGGAAAGAAGAAAACTCATATTTGCTGTACCATCCAAAGACAGCAACCACCTCCATTCTGGTGTGTCTCCTAGACTTTCTCCTGTGCAGAGGACGTGTCTGGGCTTCCCTGGCTGTAGGACTGGCTGGCCACCTGTGTGGGAATGCTGGCTGATCCCCTTGAGGCTCACAGGCATTCGTTAGAGCTTGGGTGGGCCAGGAACCCCTTCTGGGAGGTGACCCTGGCCGTCGGGGAGGAAGGGGAGGAGTGGGCAGCGTGCCCCTGTTACTTACCTGCTTTCCATAGGCACCTGTGCCGGCCTTGCCACAACCGTGAGAAGGCCAAGGGACTGGGCAAGTACATCTGTCAGCGGTGCCACCTGGTCATCGAGGAGCAGCCCCTCATGTTCAAGAGTGATGCGTACCACCCAGACCACTTCAGCTGCACCCACTGCAGGTGCGTTGGACTGGGGCTAGTGCAGAGCAGGGTGGGACCCCTGCCGGCGTAGTGATGGAGGGGGAGAGGAGGCGCAGGGCGGGGATGGATGAGCCAGGAGGGCGCAGCTGCAGGGGCCCTTTTTTTCCCAGGGCTCTTTTCAGGAGGACGTGCATGATTGGGGGTGAGGGAGGACGGGCGGAATCATAGAGGGCAAGGGGGAGGTGGAGGGGCTGGTACTGGTGCTGGAGAGGGGAGGAGGGAGGAGAGGGGCCACAGAGCCATTCCCTGTGCCTGTCCCCGCCCCAGTCTGGTGCAGAGGGGCCCAGAGAACACATCTCCTCCTTAGAGGACCTGACTGAGCAAACACAGGCTGCCTTCTGCAAGGACTGTGCGGTAATCATGAGCCTCGGGGCCTGTCTGGGGCACAGGAAGTCCCCAAAGAGAACAGACATCAAAGAGCCATCTGCCCAGGATGCTGCACTGGGACAGAGTGGGGCAGATCAGGAAGTTGCTCCCTGGGGCTAGAGGGGCTGCTGTGACCGCTGCCGTTATGGGCCCTGAAGAAGGACAGGACGTCACCTGGGGGCTCTGTGCTGTCTTGCAGGAAGGAGCTGACTGCTGAGGCCCGCGAGCTGAAGGGGGCGCTCTACTGCCTGCCATGCCATGACAAGATGGGTGTCCCCATCTGTGGGGCCTGCCGCCGGCCCATCGAGGGCCGTGTGGTCAATGCACTGGGCAAGCAGTGGCATGTGGAGGTGAGCGAGGCCGGCCCAGACAGGAGGGGGTGCCCCTGGCTCCTGGTCACGGTGGGGATCTAGCCCTGCAGCCCCTCCAAACTCCCACCCCCAGGCCGATGTGGGCCCTGCTCACCCCTGGCTTGGCCCTAGTTCATCCACGGGAACCAGGAGGCCTGAGCACAGACCATTGTCAGGCAGCCACGCCCATCCTCCTTCCTCTCCCTCCTGGCCTTCTAGAGGATTCCAAAGTTACGAGAAAGCCTTAGGGATTGTGGGGTCGTAGTTGACAGAACTGGCTGTGCTCCATGTTGACATGGAAGCTGGGTACACCTGTTGGTGAGCTCCTCAGGTGTGCCCACCTGGGTCACCTGGGGCACTCCCCTGCACTGTGGGCTCTAATGGTCTTACAGACATTACTTGAGGCTTTCGATCCCCAGTGCCCTGGCAAGCTCTGTGTTCCAGAGGCTCGACCTTAGGTGGCCTCTGGAAAGTCCCTGATGCGGGCCTGACCCCAGCCTGCTCGGGGGATGGGGGGGTTTGCGTTCAAATCCCGGCTGATGGGTTAGATGCTGCTGAGTGAGTCCGCGGCTTGTAGGGGATGTCCACAGGAGACAGACCCATGCAGCCTCCCTAGAAGGTGCCATGCAAATAACAGAACAGCCACACCTCGAAGGGCCCAGCACACTTGACACCTCACCAGCCCCTGACAACTTGGGCCAAGGTGGCTGGGGATACAGCAGGCCCAGAGAGGATGGCCATGTGCAGACTTGCTCACTGGGTGTTAGGGGAAGACTGGCGTCTGCTGACACAGGCAGTCTATGGAGGTATCAGCCCCAGTGTCCACTTGTGAGCCCAGTGAGGTCTCTGCTTTCTGTCTGCTGGGGCCGCTGCTGCAGCCCTGAGCTGTCCTGCCCCTGTCCCCTCTCCTCCCAGCACTTTGTCTGCGCCAAGTGTGAGAAGCCATTCCTGGGGCACCGGCACTATGAGAAGAAGGGCCTGGCCTACTGTGAGACCCACTACAACCAGGTGGGGCCTGGAGCTGAGGGTGGGCGGGCGTGGAGGGGAGGCTGTCTGGCCCTGTTGGGGGCCTGCAGGGGCTGTGTGGGAAGGCCGCTGTGCGGGCAGTGAGAGTTCTGCAAGCGGCAGAGCAGGAGGGGATGCCGGGCAGCCCCCCTCAGGAGCCACTGTGGTGCCGAGGCTCGCAGTGCAGGGTCTTGAGACCTAGGTAGACCTGTCAGCTTCATTGTCCTCATTTGAGAAATGTGCCCCTATGGCCCAGGCCTCCTGTGGGGACTGAATGAGATGACAGTGTGAAGTCCTGGGTTTGGGGCTCCCATGTGCCACAGCCTCCTCCTCCTGCTAATTCCGGCAGGGCAACCCAGCTGCTCTAGTGTGGAAGTCAGGCCACTGCCCTGGCCCACACCCCGCAGGACTCTAGCAGGAACAAATGGGCATTTTGGGGACCAGTGCCTCAACCTGTTGTCCCCAGGGGATGAGCGATGAGCCAGACATTCCCTCACCTCAGGCCTGAGGCTGTGCCCTGGCAGGAGGGCCCAGGAGGCCCAGGTGGATGCTGAGAGCTGCCATTTGGGGTGGGGCAGGGTGGGGGCTGGGCCACAGCCCTGGGCCTGGGCTGGGACACTGCTGCCTCTGTGTTTGACACCTGCTTGGTCCACAGCTCTTCGGGGACGTCTGCTACAGCTGCAGCCATGTGATCGAGGGTGATGGTAAGGCGCTTCTGTCCCTGTGTTGCTCCGCTTCCCCACGCCTACCAGTCCCTGCTGGCCCTGACTTTGCACAGCTGGGCCTGCAGGTGGCCTGGGAGGGGCCTGCTAAGCACCAGCCCATCTGCCCATCACAGTGGTGTCAGCCCTCAACAAGGCCTGGTGTGTGAACTGCTTCTCCTGCTCCACCTGCAACAGCAAGCTCACCCTGAAGTGAGTCCTACCAGCCTCCCAGGCTGGGGTGCCTGTGCTGGGCAGAGGGCCAGTACAGTCTGTTGCCTCCCCATGGAGGTGTCACAGGGCTCTGCCTTTCCTCAGACCTTCTCTGACACCTGTTATAGTCAGGCCCTGGGGTGCACTGGGAGCTGGGGACAGTGCCAACCCATGGAGGCAGGTCCAGGGACCCCCAAGGCACAGGGAGGCAGAGCAGCACATACCCACAAGGACACCGGGTTTTGGGGAGGGAAGGGCCTTCCAGCCATGAATAGCCAATTCAGAGGCAAAGGAGCCAGACCACCAGCTTATCCAGGAAGCTGAGAGGAGTGCGGGGTGGCTGGAGCTGTGCAGCTAGGCGGAGCCCAGGTGTTTGAGGACAGTGGGGAGCATGGCGGTTCTCAAATTTCAGAGTCCCAGAGATGCCTTTAGGACCGAAGAGGAGCCTGGAAGCCCACTTCCTTCTCCATTGTGACGTCTGAAGCTCACCCCAGGGCCTGGCCTGCTGGCCGGGACAGGCTGCTGGGGCAGCTGTGGTCTAGAGGCCGAGGGAAGGCTGCTTCTCCAGCTGTGGCTCTGCAGAGTTAGGGGAGACCTGGTCAGGACTGGGGGGCGTGGGGCCCTCCTGACTGCTGCACTTGCTCCCCAGGAACAAGTTTGTGGAGTTTGACATGAAGCCTGTGTGTAAGAGATGCTACGAGAAGTTCCCTCTGGAGCTGAAGAAGCGGCTGAAGAAGCTGTCGGAGCTGGCCGCCTGCAAGGCCAGCCCCAAGCCTGTGAGCCTCAACTCCACCTGACAGACCTCCTCTCCTCCTCCCCCTGCAGCGCTCCTGCCCACCTGTGCGCCACCTCCACTCCTCACATCATGTCCTTTCCTCTGTCCCCTCCACCTTCCCTCTCTGCTCTTTTCCTCCCCTTTTCTTTAGTCCTTGTCCCTCTCTCCCCTTCTCTCCCCAGGCAGCTCTTGGCTCCCTTCCCTGGGTTCCTCTCCCTCCTGCTCTGTAGGCACAGGGCAGAGGCAGGGCCCTGGAGGTGGTGAGCCTGTGACAGGCCTGTGCCTGCACACTTTAGCCTGAGTTCCTCCAGGGACAGGAGTGAATTGGGCCTGGGGTCACCTGGCGCTGGACCTGGGCCATTGCCCCCACGCTGCTCCTCTGACATGTCCCATCCTCACAGGGGCCTGGTGGCTCACAGTCTTCTCTGGGGGTTTGGCCAGCCCCTGCCTGAGTGCATAAATGTAGCCCCACACAGCCAGGCAGCTGCCCCAGCCCCAGGACCAGGGCCATGTGAAAGGGGGCTTCTGGGGAGCCACCCTCGCATCCCTCAGTCATGCACTCACTCAGCTAAGTAGGATCCATGTGCCCGAACAAGCCAGCCAGTCCTGCCACCTCACCTCATGGATCAGCAGGAGGGACAAGGACCCCACTCCCCCCATCACTCAGGAGCTTCTGTTCTGAAGTCCGGGCTTGGCCACTCCACCCCGAGCCTGGGCTCCTCTGTGGTCATCTCCAGCTGCACCCCCACCCCCAGGGTGCGGCTGGGGACCAGGAGATCGTGGGGTCAGGTGGGTGGCTCATTCCTACCCTCCAGGGAGGACACTTCCTCTGTGGCCGGCACAGGACCTGGTGTTGGGACTCACTCTTGCACAATGAATGAAGGCTTATTCACACAACTGTGAGACCTTAGTGGTTTCTGGTGTCGGGGTGAGGAGGTGGGGCAGTGGCCGTGGAAACACTGAGAGCAGCAGACACCAGACAGGGCAGGTGGGACCCAGCCAGGCTGCCATCGGGGCTTGGAGACAGGCCAAGCAGAAACTTGCAGTCCATGAAGGATGGCCCGGTGGGTGGAGTAGGGGGCAGGCTCCACAGGGCTGCCCTGCGGTGGGGACGAACCCAGGCCTCCACAGCCCAGCATCCAGCTCTGCGTCCTGCCTGGGCACAGGCTGGGCTTAGCACCTCTGCCCAGCCCTCCTGGTAACAATTATGTGTCCCACTGCCCTGTAGGTGAGGAGAAAAGTATGCAGAGGGGCCTCTCCCCAGGGCAAGAAGAGGAAAGGAAGAAACAGGAGGGAGAAACCAATGAAATCACTCTCTGAGAATGGAGTTGTCATGAGCTCTCCCTGGGGAGGTCACAGTGCTTTTTGCTTTTTCTGGAAGAGACTGTTGCTGGCCAGTGCCTCCCAGGCCTCCGGCTTACCCCCTACCCTCCTTTCACTGACACACTCCCCGCTGCTCCAGCAATTTTTATTGAACATTCTTGGGTCCTCTCAGCCATCTACCCACCTGCCTGGAGGCCTAACACCCCACCCCTCTGTCCTCAGGCCCGGAGGTCAGTACCTAGGGAAGCAGGCCTGCTTGGGATAGGGGGTGTGTGTGTTTTGGGGAGAAGGCAGCATGAAAGGCTGACTATAGAGGGTAGGCCCTGGGCCAAAAGGAGGACCCCAGATTGGGAATGGTGACTTGTGGGCAGTGAGCCCCCACTGCTAGGAATCGGCGGGGGCTGAGGCCCGGACACCCCGCTGTTTGTTCACAACGCTCAGGAGCTGCTGCACATACGAGGTCAACAGGTCATCCATCTTGTAGCCCTGGACAGGGGAAGGGTGGGGTTGGAGGTTGTGGGGTCCAGTTGGGGGGCTTGACCAGGGCCTGGCAGTGCCCAGCTTCTGCTCAGGGACACCCTGGGCAGAGAGGTGAGGACAGAAGTCAGGCTCCTGCTGTAGGAAGAGTGACAAGGACCACAGGGCCCACTGCCAGGCCTTGTTGCTACGCCCAGCCTGCACCTCCTACGCCTCCCAGCTGGCCTTGCCCACCCGGGCACAGGTGGCCATGTCCCCATAGTGCCTGGTGGCACCGGGCTTTCAAGTGCGGAAAACCAAGTCCCTGGAGCCTCTAGACCCTGTGTGTCTGGGCTGGGAGAAGGGACAGGGCCCTGGGATGCCTCCAGGCCTGGGGCTCACCAGAGAGGTCTCACACAGCAAGCGGCTGCCCCGGCCCAGGCTCCCCAGTGCCATGTGGAAATAGGTGCTGCCGCTGCTCCAGCTGGCGATCTTGTTGAAAGGGTAGGTGGTGAGCAGCTCCTGGGGGCAGAGCGGGCAAGTGGGCATGAGCCCACTGAAGCCAGGGGCCCTGGGCCTGGGTCCTCCAGCGGGAGGGGCAGGAGGGCAGATGACTGCCGCCCCAGCTGGTGTGGGTCCCAGGACCTGGACAGCCTACCTTGGTCTTGGGGTGGATGAGCAGGACACCATGGCGATTGATGGCGATGAGGATGATGTCTGGGTAGGAGGGTTCTGAGCTTTGCTGGGGAGGGTACAGTGGTCACAGCCCAGCCGGGAAGTCAGGTGCCACCTCCCCAAGGCACACAGATGCACACACATGCACATGTGCTCCCTCAAATGTGGCGTGTGTTTTGGGGGAGACTCTCAGGCTGCCGGGCCATAGCCAGGTGGGACACAGCTGGGCGGGGGGCCTACCTTCACCTCGAAGAAGGCAGACCCGAAGGTGGGCCACCGGCAGATCCACTTCAGGAAGGCCACTTTGGCCTCCTCCACCGTCTTGTCCCTATGCTTGTCACAGGCCAGAAGGATGCTCTGTAGGAGGTGAGGGCCAGTGAAGGCCTGGTGGGGCTGTTCCCAATGGGGCCCTCCCTACGGAGCCCCGAGGCTTCAGCCCAGAGCAGCACCTGTGGGCCTGAGGCCAGCCTGTGGGGCACTTTAAACCAAGTGTGTCCCCCACCCCCTGGGGAGAAGAATGTGTCTTTAAGGTGCTGTGAACAGCGTGGGGAAGCATGGTATACGCAGCCCCAGCCTCCCCTCCCCGCCCAGAACATGCTCATGGCGCCCAGGTGGGGTCCCTGCGAGGGGCGGCAGCCCGAGGCTCCCTCCCATCTGCCAGGGACCTTTTTCCACTCCTCCGAGGACATGAGGCGGGTGAGGTTCTCAGGCACGAGCTCCCTCAGGATCTTGGGGACATTAGGTAGCTGGGACGGGTCATTGTCAAACTGGGCCTTGTAGATGAGTCCTGCCAGGTGGATGGCATCCTCCCTGGAACACTTGTGGAACCCACGCAGGTACTTGGGCAGCTCCTGGGTGGTGAACACGCTGGGCCTTAGGCTGCTGCTCCTCACGGTGGCAGGGGTGTTAGCCCACCCCCACCCAGGACAGCCAGCAAGAAGCCAAGAACCTCGGTAGGGTTCCCTGCAGGGGGAGCTCCCTACTCCCCGATTTGGGGCAGGGATCCTTGACATCTTGCTGTGAATGCAGTGGCCCACTCCATCCTTATGTAGCTGACCCTTCAGGACAAGGGCCCCTGCTCCCCCGGCTGCCAAGCCCTCTGCCCCCTCCCTCCCTGGCACAGTCACTGTCCCCAAATGCTGCTCTCCCTCTGTTGCTGGTGCCAGAACCCTCAGGGGGTCGGCCTGGACATCACATGGAGTGTCAAGGGCTCCAAAAGCCCCTGGCGAGCCTTCTGGACATTCCTGGACCTCACAGTGCGGGTCGGACCCCTTGGGGCAAGGCAGCTGTCATCGGTCTTCCTCCCCCACCTCTCAGGGCAGGTGTTGGGTGGAATGAGTGAGGGTGAACCCAAACTCCCGCTAGGAGGGAACCTGCCCAGGTACCTGGTGGTAATGGAGTATGGTGTCTGCATTCATGTCCTTCCCTGGGGCCACATTGAGCCACAATTTCCGCATGAAGTACACCTGGTAGGGGAGCATCACAGGGGCCCCTGGGCAGGGGCGGCACTGAGCACCCAGCGTGTCCTGAGGCCTCGCTCTTGCCAGGACCACCCCAGCTCGCCAGGTTCTGTGGCCATGCCCCACCTCCCTGCACTCTGCCCACAGCACACTGTCCTCAACACCCCCTCAGGTCGCTGCCATGTCTGTCCTGCTATCTCCCTACGGGGAAGCCTCCACACTTCCTCAGGCCCCACCTCTTCCTCACCCATCCAGGCTAGTGTAGAAGCCACTTTTCCCCAGGAGTGTTCCTGGACCTCCTGTGGGAGTCAGGCCCCCGTCCACCCTCTTAGGATGCCCCGTGCATCCTCCATCACCCTGCCTTCTGTTCTAGGCTGGCCACTATGCCTTGGCCTTGCCTGAGCTGGGAGAGCTCCCAGGGCCCTCACCACCTGGCCCCAGGCCTGGCCATATCTGGTCATAGGAGGCACTGAATGAATGGGCCTGGGCCATGCAGGGGATGCCAGGGCTCAGATACCTCTGCCCTGGCCTAGGGAGGCACAGTGCCCCCCCACCCCGCCCCTTCATTCCAGATGTGTCCCCCATCCTTGTCCCCGCTGCCCTGCAGACACCGCTCACCTTCTTTCTGGGGCTTGCTCTTCTTCACCCAGTCAGACACCTGCCGCAAGGAGTCGAAGAAGAAATCCCCCTCCTTCTGGCTGATGACCTGGGGGGTGTGTGCAGGGAGGCACAGGGAGGCACAGGTGGAGGGCTTCTGGGGAGCGCCCTCCTAAGGGACCCCCCCGGGCCTGGGAGGCTAGGTGCCGTGCTTGTCCTTGCTCACTTAGGCCTGTGGGCTCCATGAACCCACCCACCTTTGCGCGCACGGCCTTTGGCGTGCAGTGAGGGGCCCGGGCCAGCACAGGTGGGACTGCCATGACCCTGCCTATCCCTCGCTCCTGGCCAGCCCACCAGCCGTACCTTGTCTGCGATCTTGGTGAAGAGGCTGCAGCCTTCCCAGGAGGCCAGCTGCAGCCTAGTGGCAATGCTCTGGCACACATCCTTCACCCGGGTGTGGGAGCCCACCTCCAGCATCTGGACAGACGGGTGTGGGAATGTCTCAGGGCTTGGCCTGGGGGGCCTCTCCAGCCTGACCCTGCTGCGTCCTCCTAAGATTGGCTGGACCTGCCTGGCCTGAGAGCAGCAAACCTTTCCTTCTAGAAAACTGGCCAGGTGTTTCCATGGTTTAGTCACACAGTACAGTCTTGGGGGCCCGAGGGGCCCAGCTTTTGAACTTGCTTTGAGAACCCTGCAGCCAGACGGTGGGAACTTACTGTTCAGCTTACTCAGCCAGCTCCAAGACTGTAAAGGCCACCGTGCTGGGGGGACCAGGAGGGCACATGCCCCTTGGCCTCCTTTGCCCCTCACTGCACCGCTGCCACCTAGCCGAGGGCCTCTTCATCACAGCTGCACCTGAACGGTCTCCCACCTGTTCCTTCTGCCATCCCCAGCTGCCAACACAAGCAGGGCTCTCTCCACAAGCACACCCGATGGCAGTACCTGCTCCCCACGCCCAGGGCAGGGTCAGAAGCCCGCAGGGGCCCCTTGCCCTGGGACTTGTCCTTGCTGCCCACACGTCCGGCCTTCTTTGTCCTATGCCTCAGCCTAGAATGCCCCTTCATAGCTCTGGGACAGTCCTGACTTTGCACTGCCCTGGCAGCATCCCCGGCGGGACAGTCCCTCCCTGCATTAGCCTGGAACACCTGAGGTTGGTGGCACTCTCTTGACACGTTGGGCACCAAAGAAGGCAGGGCAGACCGTGTCTTAGGGCAGGGAAGTGGTGAAGGGGAGACCTCCCAGTCCTCAGGTAACCAACGTGGGGGACGTTGCCCTGGGCTGTGGGTCAGAAGCAGGCAAGGCTGGGTCCCTGGGGTGGGGGCTCACCTCGCTGGTGTCGTTGGGGAGACAGATCTTGTGGCAGATTCGGGAGATGCTCTGCTCGGT